CCCTTTGACATCCTTTTTATCTATTCGGTCACCAATAGTGCGCCAATGAGCTATTTTGTCGAGGAGGTCTTCACCAAACTTACTCACTATGAAGTTGTTCTCAAGCTTTAACGATAAAAATGCAGGTTCAACTGACTTAGACTTTTCATCGGCGTTCATTAAAATATATAACGTCCCTGTCTGTTGGTTCAAGAGTATTATTCAACGAATATAGTACTAAATTACTTAAGATCAGTCAGCACACATGATAGCATAGCGATTTAGTGACACTGTCAGTGAACCTGGAGGGTCATATACACGGATACTATTCGCATAAACATATTAGTATTGTTTATCCATTCTGATCGCCCGCTGACGCAGAGCTCTCCGCTCCTTCTCTTACTCTGGCTTCGCCAGCGCCCGCTCGCCAGCGCATCTGCCATGACGCATCTTTCATATCTCCGCAGCGCTAACAAGCGTCGCCTGCACGTCGAGCTATCAGACTCGCCTACAGCGTCGCGCGCTAACAGTGTCTCGTCTGCAGCGTCGCTCCTACAGCATCGCGCTACAGCGTCCCGTCTACGTCCGTTCGCTTCTCGTCTAAATTAGAAGGCTTTCTGCAAAATAACACCAAAGAGTACTCCGGCACCTAAAAAACACTGCTAAGCATGTTTTTTTTACCGAGCAGAGAAAGAAACCATAGAAAGAACTTATGTTTGCCTTGTGTTAACGCATTGGTGACCAGACAGTGTTCGCGTGCCTGTTGTGGGAGATAAGACCATTTTTACGCTCCTAGGCCAAAAAAGTACAAGAAAATGTCAAAGCTTTGTTGGCTGTGAATGCCTCGAAAACCGGCATGAATCTTTTTCCTGTGATCCAGGCCGAGATTGGGTGCAAATTTGAAAAGCAGATTTCGCTCCATAATCCATAAGCGGCATTGGATTCTGCATTCATTCTTTCTGTATTCAACCCTCTTGTCTTTGTTTCGTATTTATTAGCTTCCCACTTTTCTCTGTAAGCAACTCTAATCATCCTAACGTTGGAAATTGCAGTACGTTGCGAAGCGGCGCTGTAGCGCCTACGCTGTAGCGCCACGCTGTAGCGCCACGCTGTAGCGCCACGCTGTAGCGCGACGCTGTAGCGCGACGCTGTAGCGCCACGCTGTAGCGCTACAAGTATGAACGCTGCCTAATGGGGAACGGAACCCTTTCAATCACTGGGCTGCTCATACAGCGCTGTATTGGTCCAATCATAAAAGATAAAGCAACTCTGCGGATCCTGCACTCCTCAGCAAACGCTTATACTTGCGGTCCGCGCCATAACTACAACACATAGACCTATAGATATAGATACAAAGTGCAGTTGATTTATATAGCGCTCGCTGAAGTATAAATAATTTTAGGTACTTTACTCCCTTATTATTCATTCTCATCACTAACTGAAAGTTCGAAGGAAAAAAATTTTTCAAAATTCCCCTGACTTTCCTTTCAGGCGTACTCGGAATTAAAGCCATGAGAGGTGATACAGATGTAGCGCAGATGGTATCTTATCCATTTTTGCCGATTGATAAGATTACCTGTCACCCATCATCAATGTCCTCATCACTAAATCTCTATGATTTGGGAGCGTGAACCGCCTTGAACAGCGACGACGATTGCAACCTCCATTATCAGCCCCTATCAGTAGTTATAGCTTCTACAGTCCTCATCATTGCGGACCGGTGGGGCGTGGCAGTGCGGCTGCGTTTGGTGCGGTTTGGCAAAGTCGTTCTGCACCACTTTTTGAGGCGGGCAAGTGCATTACTGTACTATATCCTTCGTGTTGCTCGTTTTCTACCACTTTTTGTCGCATACGCGCTGCAACAAAGAAGGCTGAAAACGGCTTCAACAGTGTGCGCACTCCCTCTGGCTGACACGCCCCACCGGTCCGCAATGATGAGGAGTGCAGTCACCCACGGTTGATGTCCCCAACTCACTCCCTATATCACTTGCTGAAACGCACGCCTCGCTGATGCTGTGACCTGCGCTATGAATACGATGACCTCACTATTCTAACGTCCATTATCGAATCTTATCAGCAGCTTACAGTTCTAATTACCGACCAATAATGTTCCTTTCCCTCACCCTACATCATATCTCGGAATCAAGAGCTGGCTGATGCTGTGACCTGCGCTGTGAATATGGTAACCTTTTCCTTNCTAACGCCCCTTATCGAATCTTTCAGAGCTTACAGTTTTTGTGACCCACTAAAGAAGTTCTTGGCCTATTCCCTATATCATATCTTGAAATCGAGAGCAGGCTAATGCTGTCAACGCGTTATGAATATGGCGACCTTCTCCTTCTACAGCCCCTTATCGAATCTTATCAATTGATAGTACTTCCTGTCACTTACCAATGGTGTTCCCGTCACACCCCGTACATCACTTCTCGAAATCATTGTCTCACTGTTACTGGGACAGGCGCTATGAATTTCGTGACACACAGACAGACGCACACACAAACATACACACACCCACACACACACGGACAGACATACTTAGCGGATTATATAGAGTAGGATAGCCTTTTCTCTCCCGGCAGTTGTTGGGGCTACCACGGCGTCACTACTTTTCCTGAAGTCTCTGACATAAGAGGGTTTCGAGGGTCCAATGGGACATTTAACAGACACTGACGGTGAAAGCCAATGTCGTTTTCGGGACCTTGAGCCCCTCTCCTCCCCCAATCGCAAGCCTTTTTTCTACCACACCATGCACTGATGCACAAATCAGCATCAGTCAGACGCATACTGGTGTCAAATAGCGCCGAAGCCAAAATGAATGTCATATTTTTTTATTAGGGGACGGTCTATCCTTGTAAACAGATTTCATAAAATGATCTTCTTATGTTTATCACTTGAATAGTGGATAACCTACATTTATCGTGTTCACTTCGGTTATTTTCCAAATTTAGCTTCATATTTTAATTTCATCATTCTGTTGATACTGTGCTCAATTGTTCAGCCGCGTTGTTTTTAGGTTAGAAAGATACAGTTTCGATTCAGCCGCAACACCATGGGCGGACTCACTGGGCATAAAGGCTCTATTGGTGTGAATATTTCACTGCATGTGGGTTTTCCTCATTCACTTACTGTTACCCCGGTTTCATGTGAAAACTACGGATTTTCCATCAGTTTCTCATCTGTTTGAAACACTTTTCATTTAGAGTGGTATATCGATCGTATTTGTTGATAGTCATTTCATTCATGATGTTATCTCTTATGACAAACGAATAGCACAGTTTCATTCGAATAAGATCTGTTGTTTCCCAGAGGACGACGATGTCAAGTAAGTACTTTATTTCTTCGAGAGCGCGTTCAGACTTCGCGATCGCGCGATTGGATTGGGGGAAACTTAAACAGAACGGTAACTTCAGTAGGCGAGCGAACAATTCTCGATCAAATAAAGATCTGTTCAATTTCAAGGCGTCTCGACTGCATCGGAATGAGAAGCAGAATGCCGAGAGTCGTTCAGGTTTCCCCTGCAACTTGATTCTTGAAGCTGTGGATAGGGCTGACCATGGATCTCGCACTCGCATTATATTTTGTTCGAAAAAATTATGCTTGTCATCATTCCTCGTATCGCACGATACCAAAGGAAGCAAACGGAAGACAGTGGTAAACACACGACAAGGAGGCTATACTGCCATCAGAACCATATATAAGGAAGTGGATAATAATCACGGAATGAATGCGTGACCTGTGCAGGAGAAAACATGCACAACTGTTTTGTTCTACCAATTTAATTAGTTTTAGGGGAAGTCTCGTGACATTTTCATTTGGGAAATGCTTCCACAGAATGCCTCAGTAATGCCTAAAGACTCCACTGCAATGTCATGAGAAATACTGACCCAAGCGCGGACTATTTTTGATGAGTGCCATTGGGACCCGATTATACAAATACATTCATAAAAAGAAAAATGGGCACTATCGGACTATTAGCCCGGTCTGCCGAAATGAAACCGGTTTCTTACCGACTTTTTTTACAAGGGCATATTTGGCTGAAAAATTGCTTCCAGGGGCACTTCGACCTCTTGAACACGAATATCACATCCACTTCGCTCGAAACTGCCGCGCCACAGGCGCCGGCGCCAAAACAAGAAGCTAACTTCAGTATTACCGCCACAGTACCGTAACCCAAAGCTGCGCCCAATTGATTGTAATTCCGCAGCGGACCTACGTATAACCCCGTACTTTACGCCAGTACCACTACGAGACACACTCGAGGCACAGCATTGAATACTTGCAAATAATGCCCTAATCAAGGATGGACGGGAATTTCGTGCACATTCCATTTACGCTTTCTCTCGTCGCGGCGTAGGATGACTAAGAACATGTAGAAGAAATTCCTGTCTGGGGAA